CCAAGTAAAATCTGAGAAATCTATAGCGTCTCAAAATAGAATTTGTATAAAAAATGATTTGTATATCAGTGAATATTTTTTTCGATGTTCAAAATTATCAGCTTATGTAACGGATATAAATAAACCTTTTTTGCACGAGTTTCGCGTTATTATACAAAATATTTTGGCTTCAAGATTAACGTATTTAAAGAGGAAATAATCAAGTTCGGAGCAAACATATACAGCACGCATATGTATACGATAACATTTCCTCTCTAATTACAAGCGATTGATTTAAACTGTCGTCAGAGAAAATTTAGGGAAATTTCCAAAACGACAGAAACTTGTCGGCACAAAGAATAAAGCATAATCGAATCGACATGTTAATAAAAATATAAAGACGTATTCATAAATTTCAATCTCTTCTTCATATTTATGATACAACAACTTTAATCTAGATGTCACAACAAATTTATTTATCAAGTTTATTATTTCTCTATAGATAAGTAAAATTAAAAACTTTATTAAACATAAAAATTTATTATTTAAGAATGAATTCTCAAATCTTTATACATTTATTAATTATTTGAAGTTAAACAATTTTATTTTTCAATTCAACAATTTTATTAATCAATTTTAAACGTTATTTGGAGTAATGCAGTTAAACTATATTTATAATAAATTGAAGCACTATGACAAATTATATTTCCAGGTAGAAAATTTTCTTCAAATATATAAAAAAAAAATGAAAAATTGAAGACAACTCTAATGATAGTGACAAATTGGACTGGAGTTAAATTTGCAATTTATAAGGATACATCTTATATTTAAATGCAAATGCAAATTGCAAATTAATGATTGTGAAGCGACGCGATATTTTTTAATATCTTTTGATATTTAACTTACGAGGGGGTCGCCTGGTCGCGATGAAGAGCAGATGTCTCGCCAGCATGTTGAAGCGTTGCCCGGCGACTGATCGAGCCGGGAATCGTGAATCGACTTACGACCGCGCTGCTCCGTCTATCAGTAGTATTGCTTCGGCGACTGTCTGTCTAGCGACAAGGTTTCCTCCTCGTTTTTATACCGATAATGTATCTTATCATCGCGCCACATTAAAAATCCGATTTCGTTCTGTATTCGAATCATCCGATTAATATACTTGTGAAGCTTTCAAAGACTTTCCGAAAGTGATTTCCTCGAACTCACGGGTCGTCACAATTCATGGACAGTCGAGAGTTTAAGGATAACAATCACAAAAAATAAAAGAAAAAAACCAATGATCTAGGAAGGACGTGATTAGACGCGATAATGATTTAAAGAGATGTGATTTCGCATGTTTGTGAGAATACAAGTTGATTTTCTGCGAAAACCCATTTTGTTAATTGGAATCGCGATTTCCGGAATAGATCGACGAGAGAACTTTACGGACGAAGAACGAACGGTTCTGCGATTTGTTCGACCGAATCAAAGCACACTGAAAGCGTCGGGGCGCGTACGAAAGTATTTCAATCCTCGCGGTGGGGATTTTTGTTTATCGACACCCCGGCCATTATCGTGCCGGGATAAATATCACGTCTGATGCAATTCGCGTTGCTTGTTGAGCCAGCGGCTAATGACGCTGATAAGGGTTAACAAAGTGACTATTTAACTGAGAACTTCGTGGGAGTTTTCCAGTGGCTTGCTAAAGCGGAAGATTGCTTTACTCGCCACCCTAATGCGATAATTTCCTGTTTCCCCCGGCCAGACAAAGTTTCAGACGTTTGGCAATTTAATGTTATTTTATTTAATCTAGATCGAGTAATACGAATATAAGTTTAATTAATTAGTTCTAATCCAGTGCAATCGGTTCATTCAATTTTGGATATTAAGACTCCGATTTTAAAGAAGATTATTATATTATTTTTAATATTTTCAATGTTTTTTTTTTTTAACTTTACGCATGACAACTATAAATAAAAAAATCTTGAAAGTTTATCGTACATGAAAAATACAAAGTTTGGGAAGAACAAGTTTGTTCAATAAAAGAAGATATAAAAATTAATTGTTATCGGCCATCCTATTAATTTACTTTTTTATATACACTCTCGAATGTATTCGGCTTATCGATAAAACTAACGAGCTCTAAAATATTCCGCCTATAAGAACGGAATATTGTCATTAGATAATAAAACTTTGGATTTATCTCCTCATAAGTATTAAACACACCGCGGGGATCGTCGGCCGACTCGCAGCTGGAAAGATCGGACACGAGTGTCAGATAAGAGAAAACGTGACCGGTATGCGTGTTTCTCTGTCTTATAGCTTTGTTTGTATGTGAAAAAAATTGATCGATCTCGCTCTCGTGACCGTCGAACTGTTCGTTCGCTGGTCTCTGCTCCCGTCGATTCGCGAGAATGACACTGTCCCGATGATTCCGACTTTTACGTAACGCGTTGCAATCCGCTGCGCGCCGATATCTCCCTCGCGACTTCTCGCTCCAATTATATCTGATTAGACCTTGATGATTCCTGCCCATCATCCGATCTATTTTATGCGATGATCTTACCATTATTTATTTAACGTCGAGATATCAAAGTCTCAATGCATCAAAACCATTCTTCGCAGAATTATCGCGCCGGCAAGAACTCCGCCAGCAAAAATTCCGATTTTCGAGAAATCGCGATTTTTGTTGCACAAAAGCTTAGAATCTTTTCAGTCTTGAGAAAGCATATTCTATATATTTTCTATATATTTTAAAATAATTTTAACTTGTTCTTCAAAGCATTCTCTTTGAAGACATTGTTTTACAAATGTTGAAATAAAATAGAAATGTTAAGAAATATAAAAATCTTTCTTTGGAGAGAAAAAAAGTATTAATTTTAAAATTAATAAAAATCTTGCTTTATAAAAACAAATTATGTTCTGTTATAATCTTTTTTAATTTTGACTTTTTAAATGTCAATCAACAATTACTAAGATTTAAAAACACAATTTAATTGTAAATTATTTTTCAAGACAATTTTGTATTTATAATATTTTTATGACTCACTTACTGAGCACACAATTATTAATTACTAATACTATCGAGAAAAATGTCTGGTTGAATTTCTGGTTGAAAAGGGACAAATCCAAATTTTCTGCTTAAATCTATTAAAATTTTAGTTGAGATAACCGGATTTCTAATTGATATAATCAGAATCTTCTGATTTGTCCACTTTCAACCAAACATTTTTCTCAGTATACAATTAGAAGTATTCTCATTAAAAAAAAAAAAACAGAAAAATCTTCCGAAAAATATTCTAGTATAGATGCACTCGATGCCTTTGACCATATAGATATTTTATCACGTATTATCACTCTTCAAGCATGTAATGATATGGTTATTCTCGATGGAACCCACGTCCATCTATTTTTCTAATCGTGACCCGGCTTATGTCAGAACTTGCAGTCACACGCATTATCTCATCATTCCCGCTTCTTATCGGCATTGCAAAACTAAGGTTGTCGCTTCGCATACTAATGCAATATTCTTTATCAAATCTCAAATGCCATTAGTGGAATATTTAGACATATCTTAGTCACATCCAGATTCAGAATTTTTATAGAATTATTATTAATATTGATAAGATGAAAGGATCTCATTTTAAATATTGTAATTTTTGTATTAATATTATTTTGATCATTAAAGAGACATTCTTTACCAGATTTCTGTGTCGGTACTAGAATATTTGAGTACCTTAGCTGGTTCTAGGTCCAAAGCCCTCGGTCTAGGACTAGTCGGCATCGATTGGATAGAGGCCATCAGATTGTTATTGAAAATTACGTTGTTATTAATTCGCGGTTCCGGAATAATAGAAACCGTCTCAGGATAATTGATTCTCTCTCTCAATAATTCCTCCTGTAATTCTTCGGAGGGCGTCCTACAAATTTTTGATGATTTCTCTTGATTACTCGCGGAGAACTTTTTGATAAACATGATCGGGCTGTTTGCCATGCGATAACTTTCGCTACGTTTCACCTTGCGATCCACTCTGCCGCTATGTATCGAATCAGAATTTTTTGCGGTTTGATTATCTAATTCCGTGCAATCGATAGTCGTATTCTTGTCGCTGATATCGCAATCATTGAGCGCTGTATTATCCTCGACTGTACTTTGACCATCGGAATTAGGCTTTTTCCTACAAAAGTTTGGAGTATCGAGGTCCGAAACTAAGAGCTTCCTACATAACTTGGGCGTGTTCCCGGTTGCTTTCAAGATCTTTGGATAGAGGCCTGACTTTTCAAAGTCTAATCGTGAGTTCGCGGGATTAAGACTAACAGGATTATGATTGATCTTGGACGAAGCTATCGCGCGAACGCTCGTCTCGACAGCATCGCCGTTAATTATCGGCGGATGATTCTCGTCGCGGTCGAGTTTGCGCTTCGCTTGCTTGTCTATCGCCTGCGAGCCCTGGCAGATTCTGGCTTTGTCTACGGATCTCTCCCCCGGCTCTTGGAGCTTGTTGCTCAGTGCTAAAGCGAGAGTCGGATTGCCGGAAGACTGCTGTCTAGATTCGTCCTTAGAGTGTGACGGAGCGGTTACGGTGCGTGATGTCTCTAATCTACCGGTGCGGCCAGTGCAATCGCGGTGCTCGTCAGTGCTGGACGTCTTACCTTCGTCGCCTTGCACGTTGACGTAAGCCCCGCGGACCTGTCTGTGAGGACTGATCGGACTCGTGGGACTGACCACGGTTGCTGGCGTGCGCACGTAATCCGGACTGATGGCGCGATCCGGACTTCGCGCCGCCCGAATGATTAGCTTGCCCAACTGAGGCGATGTCGGCGGGATGGTTCTGATGTTTGATGCATCCACCGTGTCGACGCTCTTTGTGACAGCGCGGATGTTCGGCATAGCGCGATGAAATAACGGCGATGGACTTGGTGATATGCCTTCCCTCACGAAAGGACCTGAATATTGTGTCGTATAAAAACCCGAGTTTTTTTTGCAATGCAAGAATCAATTAAAGACTACCGGGGTCTGATAATTGACTTTGTCATTTGATCAGTTTCATTTCCTCTAAGTGATTGAAATTTATTGATTGCAACCAAAAAGTGATACTATTCATTTTGCCAAATTGGGAAAACATGTGGAAAACAAATTTGCATTGTCATCGCGTTAATCAAAAAGGCAATGTTAAATATTTAATCTAAATAATAATAAATAATAATCAACATACCTGGATTAAATGTGGTATGCGCTCCCTTTCTTCTCTTCAAACTGTCAGACGAGTAAACGACTTTGCCTTCAGAATCTAGGGTGACTCGAGCACCCTGCCGTTTTCTTTCTAATGATGAATCTGGTTTCTTCGGCAATTCGCTCAAACTCACATACTCTGCATCCTTCTTGAAGATATCGGAATTGGCGTAGGTGGCGGTAGGTTGGACGGTGGTCATGCCCGATGACGATGACGATGACGATGACGACGACGATGACGAGGGTGGATCCGCGGGGCGTTTGTCGTTGTTGTTTCTCACGTCGGCTATGGTCACATAGTCGCCGGAGTCTGCATTCGACAGTTCCTGCACAGCACCGTTCTTCGTTGCGTGCTTCTTGCCCGGAAGCACGCCGCGAAGTTTGTCCAGGACTCCGCTCAATGGACTGATTTTAATCGACAACGATGATTGGCCTATCGTAGTCGATCTGTCGTTATTGGTGGCTGCTGGCAACACTTGCACAGTGGCGTACAGGTTCTTGTCTTGGCCGTTGATCACCTCCATCTTGGAAGTGCCAACGGTAGCAGACATCAGCACCGACCTGCCGCTCTGAAGTTCAGTTCTCCTTGTCGACTCGTTCGTTTTCTTCTCGTTTTGCTCTGTCTCTCTTGCGTGTTCATCGTCAGACACCGGTGGCGTGATCACGCACATTGAAGGAATCCGACTGGTCGTGATCGCTGTTTTCGAACGAATTCTCTCGATTCTCTCGCAACCTTCCAAATCGCTGGATTCCGAGTACTCAAACTCAGAGCAAGAACGGCCGGTACAGGCTGGACTCGAAGCAGATTCAACGGGAGATGAAGATGTGTTATGACCGCTGTCGGGCGATTCTCCGCCGTTTTGATTTTGACCGTGAACCTAGAAAATTAATTGATACAATGAAGATATCAAATACAGATGTTTACAGATGTTTAACAATGTAACAACTTTTTACAAATAGTAAAGTTTGTTAAAGTAACGTTTAATAATTCTATTAATTGCTAAAAATTAATTTTTATTATAATATTATAAATATTTTATAGAGAGAAGTTAATGCTAGTTTTTTAAATAAAAAGTAAGTTTTAAAAACTCACTTATTTTGAAAGCTAGAGAAATGAAAGTTAATTAAAATCTAGTATTTGTATATACCCATAAGATACTGGCATCGTATTATAAAAAATTAATATATTCATCGTTCATCATCATTGATCATTTTCTCGCTTAAAATTTAGATATTTATTCTAGTTTATCTTTAACTTATTCTATTCTTTCCATACTTTTCCAAAATAAATAAATATTCAGTTTAATTGCCAATTTCATTCTACTATTTCTTATCACAGTGAGAATATTAAAGCTTGAATTTACCATAGCAACAACCGTGAGGCTAGATTTGCGTTCAGGAGGCAGTGGTGCCATAAGCGCGGTGCAAACCGTTCCAGCCGAGCTGGTTGTCGTAGAAGTTGATCCTCTACCAAATAATTCGTATTCATTTTCGATAATTGGCGAGATAGGATCCGAACTGATATCGTTGGTTTTGGTCAAAGGATTCTGGGGCATGAGTTCCTCCTCTCTAAGAGTTTTCAGGCCTGAATCCATATGAAACGAAGTATAATATCCCTCAGTGTCACAAGAGTACACTGATGATGTTTCACCGTCATCGGAAAAGGGCACCACAGTGATGTCCTGAATAATGTCCGGTGTTAAAGTGCCCTCAGAGGTTACTGAGGATGAGGCTGAGGTGTCCCTTCCCTTGAGTCGCCTCATATGACTTAGAGAAGTAGAAGACGTACCGATCGAAGCTGTCGTTGTGGATCTGAAATAATATATTCCAATATTAAATAAATTTTTCTTTAGAATAGTTTCTTTTTAATCTCTAGTTCAAAAAATTTGGATAAATTTCAGCTTCCTGGAATGATTAAAATTTAATTGAATTTCATCCTAAGATTAAATAATTTCTTTTTAAAATTATCATATTCTGTAACATCATCTAGAATTCATCTTAAAGATATTATAATTCCCATTAAATTATTGATCATGTTAAAAAATATATAATTCGTCGTACGGTCAGTAAAGTTTAAAAAGATTTCAAGATGTTCCCTTAACATTGAGACAACCTCTGTTCCGTTTCTTCCTCTTACCTGGGCTGATGCGTGGTAGTGGTGGTCTCGCTGCCGATGCTAGCCCTTCCGCTCTCGGACGAGGCGCTCCAGTTTCCGGAGCTCGAATGCGGTGCATCGTCGCGGTTACTGCCCTTCCGTCGTTCTCGCCTCTGGGCGGCGCTCTCGCGCAATTTCACGCTCGGCTGTTTATTGTCTGTACTCGGTACCGATACCGGTATGCTGGCCGTGCTCTTGCCACTCGAACTCGATGAGCTCGGCTTCCTCTCGTGCGATTTGTCCCTCCTGCGCTTCGTAGTCACCGTCTCATAGATATTGATCTCCTCAGGCGATCTCGTCTGCCCTTGAACCTGCTCGCTTCTCTCCGCGTTGATTACCGTCGGTTCCTGCTGCTGCTGTTGTTGCCGCTGCTGCTGCTGCCGCTGCTGCTGCTGCTGCTGCTGCTGCTGCTGCTGCTGCTGCTGCTGCTGCTGCTGCTGCTGCTGCTGCTGCTGTTGGCTTGATTTCGGACTGATTAGTTTCAGTCTAGACATGCCCCATGCTTTCAGCGTGTTGAAGTGCGATTTCTTTTCCGTAGGCGAATCTTTTTTCGTGGAATCCAGAACATCCGTACTCGCTGAACGATGCGCTCTCGGTGTGGCGCTTGGCAGCGTCTCCTCGGGCTCCTCGCCAGTCGTTTCCCTACAGCAATAAATAACCTTAATGACGTGAACACGATGCGAAATGCTGTACCGAGCGCGATTTGCATAGCGCTTTAAGAAGCAATAAGGATCACGCGCGAGCATGATTAATTGGGTAAATAACGCGACATACGACAACGATTTTGTTACGGACTTATTATTCATGTATACTTCATACTTCGATACACGAGTTGGATTGTTGAATCTCGTGGGAGGTCCTGCGTGCAACACCGTACAATGATACAAAGATGGTCTGAAACTATTATCACAGCAATGGGAGTACAAAGATAGAGTAAGGGAGATTCTTCGTGCTTGGACGACTGCGAAAATATGAGCGCACTTTATCGAGCGTGACAAATCGCCGACTATTTTCGAGGTATAGATCTCCGGAGTCGCGTCTTTATAGTAACAGAACTGCTGCGATAAGATGTATCCGAGCAAAATGCATATTTCTTACTTACACGAGTATATTTATTATGTCGTAAAAGTTGAAAGGATTGAGCATTCAATGAATGGTCCATGAATCTTTTTAATAATAACATTTCTTAATAATCCTTTTTAAACAATAAAAAATTATCACAATAATTTTTATATTTTCTTGTATGAATCAAACAATATTAAGACGGTTACCTTGAAACGATATATCGTAAAACGAGAATTAAAAAAATAATTAACTTTTATTAATTCCAGAGTCTAAATAGCGTATTTTATAAACCAGAATTATAATTATATAAATTTGGAATACAAAATATGAGATAAAAAGAGATTGTTATATAAAATCTAAAATGGTAGCAACTAAAAAAATAGAAAACAACGCTAATGGAGTCTTCAAAATTCTTCGATTAAGATTAAAAGGGTTGAAGGAACTGTGAACACTAACCCTCCAATAGCTTGTCGAATCTCCTTCTGATCGGTACCGGCGATCGTGTTTCGTCTCTTCCCCCTCGGCCTGCGCGGTCGTGATCTCCTCTTCACCGCCGTTTCCTGAGTTTCTGGCCCTGACAGCAAGGACCTCCTCCTCATCGACATTCTTTCGAAACCTCGTCCGCTCACATCCACCGCTACGATTTCCGCCGGGAATCTACGATGAAAAGCATGCATTTCAGGATCACAATAAGAAGCTTGTCGGTCTGTCATTGATACAAAACTGAATAGAATAGATGTAGAAGAAAGAACACATCAAGTCACGTAACAGGAAGCTATGCGACAGACTTTTGACTTGTACACGCTTAATTTTCATTAGTTTTCATATACGTATATTATATATAACAAATTGTAATAATCTGATTGTAAGCTCTCCATAAACTACTTCAAAAATTAGCAATTTTCATTCAAAACTCAACTTTTTGGCAATTTTTTAATTATTAATCGTGTTTTCTTTCTCATAATTTTGTAATCAATAAAATCTATATTAATCAAATGTCGAACGTAGTAATTTCTTAAACAAAATCAATAAATCAATTACATTTTTATATTTCATCGATCTTCTCCAAATTAAATGATTTACTATGAAAATCTGACAACAGTAAAGAAACTTGTCGAAAAATTTAAATGAAAGTAGGTTTTTGATACTTTATCAAGATTATCAAATCATCGATTATATTTTTTTCAATGGTATAAAGATTTTCCTGTCTCTATGTGTCTACGCGCGGCAGTTTCTACAGTTTCCCGTTCTATCAGCAATCAAGCGACGTATTGAGATAAACCGCTTACTTGAGCGCGATAGCCTGAACCTGTTCCTCGGGGCTAGGTAGCTTGTGATCGACGGCATCGTCGCTGGTCGTGTCGCCCAGTATCCTGGACGAGCAATCCGGCGGAACGGTGACGTCGCCGAGCGCTTCGGCAGATGTCCATCTTCGAAGATCCTCGATAGCAGCCGGCTGCAACGGAGTAATCATATGCACAATAAAGTCACCGTCCCATTTATAAGACGACTCTTTTTATATACGTTTTGCGTTATTGCCTGTACTCACCACTTTTATTTCCGAGAGAACACGAACGAAAGATGTATGTATTTATAAAATTTCAATATTGATCAAAAATATTGCATCAGTTATGAAAGCACAAATGTCATTACTTTGAAATGAAAAAAATATACATAAATATCAAATTTTATTTTACAATTATTTTGGTTTCGTATCGTTAAAATTCAAAATTAAAATAAGTGATAATAGAAATTTTATGTATATATTTAATATAACAAATATCTAAAATAACACATAATTATTAAGAAATATTCAATACATCTATTATGTAAAAGAATATAAAATAATATTTTTTATGTAATTTTATTTCTCTTTGTTAATTTCTTTCATGATGGAATCTTAGAAATGAATCTGCTATTACAAAATTAAAGAAAAGTTGCTTGAACAGTAAAAATATAGTGAATACTTAAGGAAGCGATGCGTTTCTCCTGCAATGTAAAAGAATTGTACCATCTTATATGCGTGTGTTTATTTGGTATTTTTACGCGATCCGGTCTCAGGGAATGTAACAAATGACTCGTTTTTTTTTCTTCCGCGGGATCTGGGAGCTCCGTAACAAGAGAATCGCCTCCTGTTCACTCCGCGGGAAACTCGACGCCGCGGTAAAGGAAGAAGAGTGAACGACATGTTTTACGCGCTGCGGCATTCGCGTGGGTGTTAACCATTGTCGGGATGTCATCTCGCCGACCAAGCGGGTTTCACGCGCGGGATACGGAACGGATTGGGTTCCAACCCGAGTCTGCTAACTTTTTCACGTGATACACTAGTCGTTGTTCGCGACTCGTCCGTGAAAACGGCTGAGTTAAGCCATTGTATTGAATCTTAATTTCGTGTATTCAAAAAACAGAAGGTTCTAAGCAAAGATAACTTTTAAAATTTTTAAGAAAATTTAAAAAATTTTTTAAATATTTTAAAAAGATTTCAAAAATATTCAGATTTGATTGTTTAAATTAGCTTTGTATATTACAAAAACTCCTCCAAATACATCTGGAAGAATAGTTTAATCTATTCGTATTTTGTAAAATAATGGTTGTTAAAATAAACATTAAAACTCCATATTGTTTATACAAATTCGATTCATATCGGATTGTATGATGCAAATACATATTTGTGTCCACGTTCAATTAATTCTTAAATGTCATCTTTGATGTTGAATCTTTAACAAAAAGATAATCTGTTGAATTTATATTTTTCCGCCTGTCGAGTACGTATTACTGCCATATCGCAATCGTATGTCATGAATAACAATCACCGTTTGATAAATCGATTTAACGTTGATTCAAGTGCAGAGAAAATACGAGTTAATCACGAGGTATTTGATGTCAATTGGAGGGGAAATGTTGCTCGGCGAAATTACCGAGGTTGTTTCGAAGAAATTTGGGATTCGATCCTATGAACTCTCCAATTATACGGTGAAAGTTAATTACGTCGAATTAAGTAGGCAAAGAGGTCAGATTTAATTCGGTCTGGCATTTGAGAGTTAATGTCTCGAGTCGCAAATTATTGAGTCATGCACTGTGATCTCTGCGTTCGGTTACTCTGTACTCGGTACCAATCGAGTGTCTGAACTCAATATTTAGTTTCTTCCGTGATTCGTGAAATCAATGGGAACAGTGTAATCACAGCAATGAATCGAGCAACGTTAACTCTCTTACGTAACTCATTGAGAAACATGTATGAATGCGCTGCCTGTGCAACTTTCTCATTCGACAAAAAGATTTTGTTATGCGTGACTGGCAAGAAATGATTAGATTAGAGATAATCGCATGGCAGAATTCCAACATCAAAATTACAGATTCTAGCAAAACATGAATATTCTTGTCTCTAAATAAATATTAAATTTAGAAATCTGTTTCTATCTGATGCTGAATAATATTAGTGTATTCTATGAATTTAAAAAATCCATAAATCTCCTAATATAACTAGATATATTTTTTAATTCAAGGTATTAGAATCAATATAAAGGATTTTTTACAACATGGAATTTTACAGAATTATCCTCCTATATTAAACATAATAAAATTAAAAGGAGATGTCGATTGAGGCTGTCTAAAAGGTTATTTGAATTTGGATCACGAAGAAAAATATCAATTGGTGGGAATCGTGTCCTGATATTTTCACAGACAATGAAAGAGAGATACTTACGACTCGAGACTCGATATCGAGACTGTGGTCTCGTCTCCTTTTTCCAAGGACCGGCGTGCATAGGAACATATCCATCGAGCTGCCATCCCTCCTCAAGGAATCCAAACTTCGTACGGCGACTATGGCAGCGAGCTCGTACAACTCCCTCAGGGCCTTCGGCCTCGTGTCCGCCGTGAACAATCCCGTTGATGGTTTATTCGTGACGTGAAAATGCTCCGTCCTCGTCGCGAAAGTACAGATATTCGATTCCGCTGTAACACGAGAGATACGAGGCGCTTTAACGATCGTCCTGTCGCCTAAGAGACTGTAGTCAAACTGTTACACGTAGAGCCGCGTGTTTATCTAATTTTCATCACTTATTCTAAGATATCGCACGTAACGATAACATCATAATAAATTTCTTCCGAGATAATTCCACCTCGTGGCATACCGTTATATCATTTTCTAAAGATGCCATTTTTTACAACAATTATAATATATAAAAGTATAGAGTGAACAGAGTTATAAATATTACAATTTCTGAAAATCTTTTTTTTTCAGTTCTATTCAAATATCATAAATATACATATAAGCATATTGAAATATTAATTAAATAAAACATTCTTAATAAAAAATTTAAATTAAATTTTAGATTAAAAATAATTGACAACAAATATATTCGTGTATAAGGTATTTGTAAATGTATATGGAAATCTCTAAAAGAAGAGAAAGAGAAAGATTTATTGCGATATAAAGAGAGGTTTAGTAATTAAAAAAAAAGATTGTCTCGCGCCTCATATTAAATTTAAGAAGTGCTCACGTCCTTTTTTTCTTTACGGTCACTCTATAATGTGGCATTTCAGCTCCATAATATACTTTTTGTTGGTCATATGTGGCGGGCGGATATCACGCCGCTGACATATCTTAACTGTAAACATGTTCCATTCACGGTTTCTTGCACCGCAACGTATACAGGCTCCGGCATAAAATCAGTAAAAAAACCTAACTCATGCCACCCGTTCTCGAGGGGCACGCTTGATTCGACGTTTCCGGTTGTTTTCAGAAACGGTTTCTTCCGTGACGAAAGAGACGGGGCCTTAATCTCTGACAACGAGGTCCATCCTAACATTTTCAATTATAACTAGGAAGGGGCAATAACCTTGTAATGCACTTGAATTATAAAATAAAATTTCACTTACAAAAATATTATACATAAATTATTTATAATATTATAAATATAATAAATAATTAAAAATATTATGAAATAAATAATAAAGTAATTCTATAATTGTAATGTGTGCACACCTCAAATCTTGACAATTTTTTTTTAATATAAAACAAGAATTGTCTAAGACGATTTTATTATTAATTAATAAGAACAAGCACAATTTGATCGTTAAGTTTGTTTGTTATTTTTATTAGTCACTTAGCTTCTGGATCTGATTTTTTAACGATATTATTTTATTTTAGGAAAATAAACAAGGATTTTAAAATATATTAATGCTTTTATCTAAAGCTCCGCTTGTATGGAATACAAAATCATGCCGACTCACTCTCTCCCGGTACACACACACACACACACACACACACACACACACACACACACACACACACACACACACACACACACACACACACACACACACACACACATGCATGCACGCGCATGTAAAAGATGTGAACTGACGGATGAGTCATAACGTTTGATTCGTATTTTTATCGGCAACGTGACTGGCGGACAATAAAGCCCGTAAACACCTCTGCGCTTACGGACAATTAGTTCCGTTATTCAAAGAGATCCTTAATTGCCGACTTTTTAAATCAACAATACATAGCGCACATACGTTTCGCAGCGTTATGAAGTGCTTTCATTATCGCGTGCTTCTTGTATTTTCTCTCGTTGTTCGCCTTTTGTTTCGTACAATACCACGGAGGGTTAATCACTACAGGTCCGACACGCGATAGGGTTCGTATTCTCCATTAGAACTTCTACGTCCCTACGAGCTCGCCGCATTCAATAACGCTTACGTTCGATTCGCATGCTCGATTTGTTCTTTGACGCTATGACGGAAAAGTTGTATTGTGAAATATTTCGTCTAAGAAATATTTCCCTGTCTAGAAAGCCAAGTTTAGCTAATGAATTTACAATTTATGAATCTCAAAATCAAATTACAATTTTATAATCTCAATTTATTAAAGATTGAGGAAATTTAAGGAAACTGAAATATTTTACAATCCTAATTTATTAAGATCTAGAATCTATAAGAATCTCACATTTAATTTATTGCAATTAATAAATTTAAAAAATAATATTTATAATTCTAACTTATGAAAGTTCGTAACCTTTTCACAAGTCTAAAAATTTTGTAAAATTTTTGAATTCTCTATTCTTCACTATACTGATTCTTTGACGTCTACACTCTAATTGACTTCTGGAATACTTCGGTATTAAGAGTTACGCTAACGGTTCATTACGAAAGAAGGTAGTAATATCGCACGACTGCCCCGGGCATTTATGCCATAATATATAAACAGAGCGATGCGTGTACGTGCGGGCCGCAAGCGAGAAAGACTCGTCAGTGTTCCGCCGAGCTGCAGTCTGATTCGATACAATCGTCCGTGGAGTATTTCTTACTAACCGTCTGTAACCTCGGAAGCTGATGCACATAACTACACAGCCGGTACAACCTTCTGCGCGAACGAGCGGGGATCGACTTTCCTCCGTGATGTTCTGCAATCTCATCACGCGCACGAATAATCGAGAAACTGGAACCGAACCCCTGTTCTAGCATTCAGATTTTTCTCAAAAATTATCATCTTCTTGCGAACGTTACTTTTTATCATTTTCAAGCAATTGGTTGGTGAAATTACTGATTTTATTTTAACTGCAGCTGTCAAACCTACCTAACCTTATTTTATTTTCGGAGAGGGTGATAACTGTATATATGTAAAAATAATTTTGGTATTGAAAGAAAGACCTTATTTTCCTATCGGTTTAAATTTCTTTACAGGTAAAAATGGAAAATATAAATATTAAAATATTAATGTTAGGGGGAAATATTAATGTTAGTGATGATATGACGAAGCCGACAATCGCATTTACAATACACACAATATTAATAAAAATTTTTTATTTAATAATTAAAAAAATACCTAGCAAATTTGAATTGTACATCAGCGGAGAATATGCGCTTGGCTACATTTCGAAGCGCATTGCAGAACCGAGTTCTCGTCTCGATAAATGCGCGACGAGTAACATTAAGTGCGACACGGCTGTTAGTAAAAGAGGGCTGGACTCTGAGAGATTTTTTACAGACGCCAGAAGAGAGCGAGTTATGAGTCAAGGCCGGCTGCACAGGTTGCTCGGTCATGAGAATAGAAATATGAGCAGGTAAGCATGGCTGTGTTCGTAATAGTTGCACACCTGAGTAAGCACTGGTCCCGCGCGCGCATGCATCCCGATCTTACAATAATAGGCTTCGAGCTATTCGCAATCGTTTCTCACAAATCAGCACGATCCACTGTAACCGCGGCCGGCATGAGCTAATTATAATAGTAGCTTGGCAGCGACGTATGAGGTCCGGGAAGTAATGATAGAACCGCTTCAATGCACTTAACTCCAGGAACGTGACGTAGAATTTATTTTGTAAGGAATAAACACAGGATTCTCGATGTCCTCTATTGCGATTCTGAACGACGAGTGTTGCTCTTAAAATTAGAGGATATCCATTTACGATTTTCTCACACTTGTCAAAGAGAAATGTTATCCTGAGAATTTATGCAGTTTCAAGTTTATATTTTATTTTAATAAATTTTTAGTTTGTATATGATTATGAGAGACAAAATATTGAACATAAAAAAATGCGTTTCGCTTCTTAAAAGAGAAACGGATTCTGAATTTTGATCAAGAAATTCATAGAAAATTAATTCGAGAGACACACCATCACATGTAAAAAAGAATATGAGAAAGATATTCTATTTATTTTTTTCATTCTGCTTTTCGCCACATTCTCTTTCGTCTTATTTTCCATTAACGTCTATCCGAATCCGGCGTGCACTTTCAACTGTCCAATCTCGCCTATGCGAGAGTCACGCCGGGGTTTCGCAACATCCGGTGGATCTCTCTCGACTCGCTCGTCTCACTCGACTCACCGCCAGCGAAAGCGTGGAATCGTCGTCGATCGGATGGCACGAAGCGAGCGGTTCGACGAATCGAGAAACCGGCGCGAGACAGGTCGAAGGAGGACAGCGAGAGAGAAGAGAAACACACAGAGAGCGGTCAAGTAAACGACGAAGAAAAAGACGAAGAAGAAGATCAAGAAGAGGAGGATGAAGAGGAGGAGCAGGCAGATTCTCGATGGTGAAGAGCCGGTCGGCCCGTGGGAGGTCCGCTGTAGTCGATGAGCCTCGGCTGTGCAAAGTGCCCCGAAGGGCCGCTCGCGCGGCCCTTCAGAGAGACCGACAGACGGCTTACCGGTTGCTCCGGCCTCCTCGCAGACCGGGGCTCAAACCAAGATATCAAGAAAGCGCGTAATTCATGGTTGTTTCTCTCGGAGAGTGGAGCAGAGAGAGAGCGCGCGTAGTAGAGTACATCTTGGCGCTTGGATTAGCCCCTTTGTCAAGAATGCCTAGAATTCGTTTTGGACTTGGTAGACTTTCCGCGTATGCCGCGTTTTTCTTGTGAATTGATTTCTTCAGAACAAATCAGGAAGATTCGATTGATCCTTTCAAAGGTCTAGATAATTTTAGACACTGTACTATTAATAAAAAATTGATTCGTTTTGAGTACGAGATATCTCTTTATTATCCTCATCCAGAACTGATCGAATTATTTTTTAGAAATTTAGAAATAGTCTATATGTACTCTATATGTACTGTCTACTCGTGATCTCTGTAAATTTGAAATGTACGATGCAATATTGATCCTTGTGATAAACCTTCAGGTCACTTCCTTCTATATTACTTTGAGTAGAATGTTGAAGAGATTTCATGTATGACCCTTTCGCAAATTCTGACCAAGGAGGCTGCGAATAACGCGATGCGAGTGCGAGCATTGATCTGTGCCGATGATAAATCGACGGAGATGGTATCACGGATCGAAGTGGGTATAAGATGGAATACTATCACGCACGAGATGATGTATTACGTGATGATCTTAACGAGCAACATAATTGTTACATAGGAAGAAACTCGCCGCAATGATAATTGGGAACGTAATCGCCGTAAACGATTACTCATCATTACGTCAACCCCAAACGCATCTCTTCGTCGT